AAGAATAATACTGAAACAACTTGCAAGAAAATAACATCCGGGATATCAGCTCTTCGTCAAATAAAAGAATTTGTTGAGAAAGATACACTTGTCTCTGTGTATAATTCTATGGTTCGCCCATACTTTACATATTGCTGTGAAGTATGGGATGTGTTTGGTGAAACACAATCAAAACGCCTCCAAAAGCTCCAAAACAGAGCTGCTCGAATCATAATGAATATGAGCAATGATGTAGATCATCTGGTTGCTTTAGATGCTTTAGACTGGAAGCCACTTAAAACGGAAAGAATGAAGGCTAAGTCCAAACTGGTGTTTAAATTGTTGAATAAAATGGGTCCTAAATCACTTACTGATTTATTTACTTTCAAAAGTGAAATGACAAATTATAAACTTCGAGATGTGGAAAGTACTCTTTGCTTACCACAGCCGCGTACAAATAGCTTGAAAAAAAGTTTCATGTTTGACGGGGCACACATTTGGAATTCTTTACCAACCGAAATTAGAGAGAGCAACTCCATCATGTCCTTTGAAACTAAAATCGCTACTCACATTTTTGAATACTCACATTTTTGAATAGCATTATTATTCTTATACTTATATAATTATGTATGTATATATATATATATATATATATATATATACATATATACATATATATATATATATATATATATATATATATATATATATATATATATATATATATATATATATATATATATATATATATATATATATATATATAGGGGTTTTTGAATTACCCGTCCGCTGGTAAACGGGAAAAACGGATTGGTTAGTATTTTTATGTAGTTGTCAATCAACGGCTAAATTCGGTTAAATGTTAATCATTAACCAAATGTTTTGACGTTTTGAAACTCTGCGTTTTGAAATTAGTTCACGTCAAGTCAGACCAGAAATGGAATAACATAATAAAAGAAGCAAATTAAAAGATACAAGCTGAAAAATAACACTCTAAATAGTGTTATTGATAGAGATTCGAACAAGAATATTTAACAAAGAAGATACGTCCGAAGGGGCCGAAGTTATGATCGGCGAAAGGTATGGGCTAGTCTATATTTTCGTTCAGACAATTACATGCGTATTAATTTGATAATATACTATCTCGCTTGACTTTCAAAGGCCATAAATCGCAATAATGTTGACATTTTACTAAAACTATCGATAGAAATTAGGAGATATTTCTTCACTGAATCGAACAGTGGGATTTCCATATAGGCCTATCAGTCATGTTCTGAACCAAAGATACTTGATAGATATTATATACGAACCTCCAAAGTATAAACAAGGGGCCGCGGTTGATGCAGTAATTATCAAATAAAAGCTAAACTCTTTATATACCCGTTGAATATGTATAGTTGTAAACAAATAAAAACTATCGTTCTATAAGGTTCAATACTTTCAGTTTGGTTGTTGACTGATGATGAATCTATAGTATAGACTTGCATGCTTTGTATTTTGAGCATATTAAACCACCGTTTTAAGGCAGCTAAACGGCTAAACGGGCTTGGTTTATATTAACACATAAAATAAATTCCTTGATTCTCATCAATAGACACAGTCTACACTTTGAAATGTCGAAGACAGTGGGAGATTTATTTTTTATATTTTATATTTATATAATTTATATATCAATAGTTCGTATCTCCACAAACAATGACAGAATGACTGAGTTTCTTTAAAATACAATGAAATTTCACTCAAAATTCTGTTTGTTTCAAATTGGAAGTTTAAAATGGCAATATGGCAATAAAAACTCTATATATAATATGAAAAAATTAACTGTCTTGAATTATTTTGTCGGGCGGTACATTTATATTGTGTAACTAAAAATAAAACGTTTTCACGAGGATTTTAAAATTCAGTCGGGCGGTGATGAGAATCAAGGAATTTATTTTATGTTGGGCAGTTGGGACTTGGGAGCAGCTTGGGAGTGGCTAATTTTGAATATTTCCTTAATTAATGCATCTATAAATAGCGTTGATGCTTCAGGGGCGGTAGTTCATTTACACCCAGTTTTGCGGCAGGCGGTATTTCCTACGTACCGCCTGCCATGCAGGCTACACTGGTGGTTGCTCAGCGTGTCTTCCCATGTGTTGCTGTTTATGCATACTGACCCTAATTCTTGCCCTGACCCAGAAAATAACAGCGAGACATGAAACTATATCCCGTCTTTGTCCTTCTTCCTTCGTTTGGAACGAAGTTCACCGCAAATTTTGCCAAAATATTTGGGAATTTTTCATTGTGAAAGAAGGCAGAAGAACGAAGACGAGATATGGATTTATGTCTCACTGTTTTGTCCTGATCAGGGTAAGGATTTGGGTCAGCATTCATAAACAGCTAGACATAAATCTCTAATATGTCTTCACGCCTGACCCTAAACTCGGAATGCGTAAGATAATGTGTAAGACAGGCAAAAATTGTCAACCACGGTCCACGTCGTCGTCCGATTTCGCTCTCTTGCTCAAACTCTCGAATGTTGTCGGAATCTTCGTGGTGAAGCATCGCAAAAAGTGTTACGGAAATCGGGAAAAGTGCTACAAAAGCAATTGTAATGTTATTGTCGACGGGGGAGGGGAGATTTAAAATGTTCTGTGGTCCGCAAAATTTTTTCTTGCGCGAACTTTGGGTCTCGAGTCACTGGCGGCTTGGCCCCACCTGGATTTTTGCCGGTCCCCTCTGACCGAAAATCCTGGCTACGCCTCTGCCTTCCCCAATGCAAATAACAAAAGGCACATTCATAATGCCAACTTTGGGGAAAAAACATCTGTGAGGTTTTGCTTTTGGGGGCCCACAAATTAGGCGCCACCTGTGATCGATAGTTGGCGCCGAGCGGAAAGTTTTGGTAGCTTTTCTTTAGATATACAAAACCATATTGTTGAATACCCACAAGTACAAGGTTGCATGAAGTGATGTTTTGATTATCTATTTTTGGCTACTTATAAAAATAACCCAACTGGTTCTTAAATATGTTGGCTTTGTTGCACATTTTAACTAAATAATATTATTAAGAGTGACTTCATTTGTGTCAAATTACATAAAACTTTTTTTTTCTGAAAAAATTCACGCCATTAATTAAGTAAAATCTGTGATGCTCATGGTGGATCCGTGAGAGTTGGCAACTATGCCCTATACACATGTATCATTCCAATTAATGTACATGTTTATGTTGAAATCAGTTTAGTGAGTGGTGTTTTGTTGGAGTTTTACTACAGTTCTAACTGCTCTCTATTTTTTATCTGTAGGATTTATGGTACGACATGGTCATGCGGGCAGGTATTTATATTTTAATTTTTCATGCACAAAAATATCTGACCCACCTCTTTTTCCATCCCCCCTGTAGTTAATTAATTAATGACCAGTCCCTAAATTGAGATAACATTGAAATACTTTGAATCTTTACCCTCTTTTCAAGCTCAATCATAGCTCTGATCAAAAAATCATTTTCTGTCTGTCTGAAGGTCATTTGTCATTTTATGCAAAGTTGTAATTTCTTGTTGAAGCTAAAAAGTGCAAATAAAAACATCATTAATACAGGTATACTGTATGAGCATATTTTACATCCATTTATACCAACTGACATTAGGTAGTACAGTTTTCTAATTATTTAGGGCTAGCTTGTTCACATTTCAAACATCTGTTATATTTTATACACTGACTTCATTCTTTGCTATCTACAATTCACTGGCACTCAATATTTATTCACTGAAACAATATATACCCCATTTTCAATCCCAATTTTATGTGCAATTTGAAAATTATTTTGAATTCATATCTGACAGTTGTTGGTTTTCGTCTATCAAATCAGATGTTTTTTCCCATTATATACAGTAGTCATTTCACAAAGGAAGTTTTCTTCTGAAGTCTTAAACTACAAAGTGCAATAAGAGGTTTGATTCGCAGTTTTATGTTGTTGTAGGTGAGTTGTGTGTTTAATTTGATACACAGTACAACTGACATTACAAGTTGTGAGCATGCAATAATCTTGTGCAATTAGGTTTTGAGGTGTAAATTGGTCTAAAATTTCTTGCTAAAACATGCCAAACGCTACAGTATGGTATGCTACTGTAGTTAGCTATACTGGTTAACCATGACCATTGGCTGGTTCATGATTTACCTTATCCTCAAGATCACGAAGTGCATTTTTGTTTTTTTCCTTTTCTTGCTCAATCTATAAAATCAATTTAGTGTTCAGATAATCAGATCAGATTCAGTAGAATTCCAAAAGTACTGTAATGGTGCCCATTGTATTTTCAGTGTCATTATTAAAACACTGGACTATAGTGTTGATCAGTATATAGAAACCATAAGATTTTTTTAACTGAGGACCATTAGGTTTCTTATAACAGCTAGCGTAAAATGTAATTAATATAATTAACTCACCGCATTTTCCCACAAATGGATGGTTGACCAATTAGCATCCAGTTGACTCTGTAGTCTTTCACATTCCTTTCGCAAATGAACAATCTGAGCAACATATTCTCTACACCTAGTACACTTTTTCCTACTTTCACGGGCATTCCTCACTTGTTGTTCTTCATTAGTTCTTCTTCGTTCTTTCTCTCTGATCAATCCCACCAGTTCTTGATCTTTACTTTCCACTGACTGGCTTATTGCTTCCAATTGTAATCGAATACCCTCATTTTCTCTGATAGAGCTTAAATATTTCTCATCTTCGGTAAACTGATACTGAAAAATAACATTCAATGAATTTGTGGGATACACTATATAAACTTTGGTATTATTCTCCCTGCTATTCATTCCCCTCTATAGTCAGATAGTAAAATTGTACACAATGCCCATGCAGTATTTAAATTGCAAATGGCTCACCAAACTTTCATCCTGGCTCTCTGCAACAGAGGCAACACTTTGCTTTTGAGCTTCTTTTAACTCGATATGATCAGCCACTACTTCAATTGGCATGTGTGTGGTAACTTGTTGTACTTTAATGGAAGCAATTTGTGCACAGGTATTTGTTAAAATGTTGTTTTTGGCCCTCAATTCAGCTCTTAACTGCTTCGTCGATTCAGACAACATTTCACCTGTCACACTTTCTGGCGTCTGAATAAGTATAATAACACAGTACTCAGTAAAGATGTGCATCAGATCGGATTCGAGGTTTACAATACTTTTCCAATCTGATCTGATGTGACTATTAATTGGCTCCAAAATCCGAACAAATCCAATCAGATCAGATTAGTTTCAGATTGGATTTGCACATCCCTAGTAGTCAGCTACACTATTGTATCTATTACGTTGAAACTTAGAAAATACAACTTACAATTCAATGACATGCAAGTACAAATGCAAGTCAAGGAGTGCACTTTAATGCACTAAAATGATTAAATTCAGATTGTCAAGAAAGCTAGGTCAAAAGGGAAACAGTCCAGTTTTTTTATCTATTACGTTCAAAATTCGAAAATACAATAACTCAAATTTAATGGGAAGGTTGAAACGAGTGGATTTATCAGATTTTCAACAAAAGTCAAAAGTGAAACTGCGCATTAAAATATACTTCGTAGAATCTCGAAGAACAGTAAAAGTGCAGCGGACAATTTATAAGTTAGTCTTAGTTAGGCACCATAAATTAATAATAAACAGTAACAGAACTTAAAGAAAAGAAACCAAAATAGACAAGGTAACTTTACTATTTTGTTAAATACTAATACTACAATGAAATATTGGCTGAAAGATGCGCTAAAATCGTGCAATGTTCCGCTGCAATCTTGGGAAACACTTGCAGAAGATAGAGCTTCGTGGCGAACTGCAATCCATACACCAATGGTGTTCAATCATTTGAAGCAGGCCGGACTCCGGCGTAAATGGCCGGAGAGAATACAACAAGCCCGACTCCGGCGTATTAAATGGCCAAATCAAGCTAGCTGTGCGCGAGTCGAGTGGGTTTGGTGGCCCGTGGACGGTGACCCAATCTCCGACGGAAAAGGTCATCTTCGAAATCGAAGAGTCATCCATTACAATGAAATATTAAAATAGCGGAGTATACTTACCAGAGTATCGTCCGCGGTATTGTCAAGCATCGACATCGAACTGACCGAACTAGAGCGGCTATCAAGTATTAAATCAACATCAGTACTATTTTGCATTGTAGCTTTGTTACTTTAAAAAAGCTTTTATACTGCAGTGATGGTATTTCTTTTGCCAATGTGTTTACCAATGTTGTGCCTAAAATATGATAAGGGATTAAAGCTCCCTCCTTCGTGAGAAACAAACAACGAAAAGGGATAAACAGGAAAAAACATCCGCTTTATATCGGAATTCCTTGATATGAGTCCTAAAATTCCTTAGTTTACTAAAAATTCTTTAATTTTTATACAAATCCAAGAAATTTCTAAAAAAACTTGTCACTCCAGCCTAGAACCGAAAAATAGAAGGCCTAGGTCTAGGCTGGTGTATGGTATGGTGTTACTCTGCAATCTAAATTTCATTTCAAAAATTAAACATTGTAAAATTCCTGAAAACTATGTGAAATTCCTGTTTAAAGGAAAGAGCTTCCAGGGGAAAACTAATTCCGTTCGGCTATAACCTGAAGTTCAGGCCCTAATCACAGAATAGGGCCTGACACAAACCGTGGGATTCCCGTCCATCTGGTGGACGGGAAATCTGATTGGTTGATCAGCATCATGAAAGATTTTGATTGGCTGCAAGTTCACATAAACAGTTTTAAAACGACAATTAATACAAAGGTCAAACGCACATATCAAATTCCATTATCGATTTCTTCGAATTTCTTTTCTTTTATGCTTTAGGGTAGCTTTATGGCAGAAAATAAATCAAACAAACAGTATTTTGAAAGGGCTTGATCAAAATCTTTGACGAATTTTGGACACACGACGCTGAAAGAACAGCCAAACTAGTCATGTATTCGAAAGCTTCTTGTTGACAGCCAAGATGTTCTGCCAACTGGCTTCGCCGGCAAAAGTCTTATTTTTAATATCAGGTCCTACCGGCGTTGTTTTCTGAGCTACATCGCCTTCTTCGTGGTAAGATTGAGAATTTCGTTGTTGCTGTTGTTAGCCCGTTAGAGTATTTCCGCGTCCAGCAAGTTGAGACCTTGAGAAAGCTTGGCAGTCAAGCCACAGGGGGTCCAACTAAGAGCTGTGTTATGAATATGAATAAAACATTAATTAAACGTAATATGAATAAAACATCATAACGTAATATATTTAAATTATTGCACTTACTTGTATAAATCATAAGAGCTTGTATTTGCAATGAATAGCTTTTAACAGGGCGCTTATACACGCTCAGAAAATCGCTCAGAAACACTTGATTCGAACGATTGTTCAAATATGGCGAATAAATTGACAAAACGAAAATATTACATGACGTTCCAACGAAAATAACAGCAAGGATTGCGGGCGTGAGCGGAAGGCGAGGGTAATATATATTAATAGAAGGGATGAAACACCGGTAATGCGATCGTGTGATGTGTTCCATAAGTAGCCTGTTCTCTCGGAAAATTCCAAAACGCCTCCTGCCAACTCCAACAACGTCTAAGCGCTTAATTAATGAAAATAAACAATGTTTAGCTATA